CTGTCCTTGGCTGCTTTAAATTAACCCTCTGATAAAGCACATCTTCCCTTGGGTGAGACGCACCTCCTGCTGCAGGGGATCTAAAAGCAGTTAGTAGTTCTTGAGATCTCATCACATGCTCTGCACTGCCTCCTGATTCCTTGGCAGGAAGGGAGGATACAAGCTTATCCACGACTCTCAGCTCGCCTTGTGCATTTCAGCAGGCTGACAAGTGCTTGGGCAGGTGATCCCCAGGCTCAGGGCATGTAGTTATGTCGTTCTGCCCCTATGGGGAGAGCCAGGTCAGGCAATTCTCAGCAAGGCCAGTTGTTCCTCACAGCCATAACCACCTCTTGCACTGTGCTTTACTTTAAATAAGACCTTAGCCACGCAGGACATCAGGAAAGGGGTAAGAGCAATTTGCTACTATCTATGCAGCTGAAATCTCAAAGTGGTGGAGGTGGAGGCTCTACACACAGCTGTGATGGAGGCAAATCCACCTTCCTTCTTTGTAAAACCCTGGGGAGGGAAGGACCTGCCCCACTACAAAGCATTGTCTGTACTGACCGTGTCTTTCCTGCAGGGAATCACTTGCACTACAGCTGAATGTCTGTCTGTTCCCAGTCTTTGTGCTTTGTCCTGAGTTTTCTTTGTGAACCGTGGTTGGTCTTGTTCATTAGGCTTCTAGTGTAACGTGTTTTTAGAGCAATAAAATGTGGCAGCTTTTTATACAATGTATCGGGCTCTGCCTTTTTGTGAAGACTTCAAGCAGTGAGACTCACCTGGGAGGCAGCAGGAAGCTGCAATTCCCCCCTCACAGCCCTTGCCTGCCTCTCCCATCCCACCTGCAGCTCTTCTCTGCAATTCAAAGCAACGTCTTGCAGTTGGAGGCGAAACAATTTTATTCTTGCAACTACACGCTGAGTGCCTGCCAGGACAGCAGTAGATGTTAACTCTGTTCCAGCCAAAGCCTGGGGCTCTCGGGCTGCCTGGGTGGCTCTGTGTCCACAGCCACACCTGGTATTTTCCAGAACAGCTTCACCTCATGCTGATGCGCTGCCTGGAGAGCCATAGGTAGCGCTGAAGGACTTGGGGTGAGAATATCTTAGAAGCTTCAGCTGGCAATTTCAACATCCAAAGCAATACAGTCACTGCTGCCTGTTCTCTCCCCTTTGTGGGGGAACGCTGTATTTGCAGAGGTCTCCAGGCTCCATCTCTATCAGCACAACCCTTTTCTTTCTGGCCCTTGAGCACATGGCCCGGTGCAGCCAGCAGCTCCTACCTCCTGAATGACCTCAAGAATGATTTCCGACCGGTCCTGAAGAAGGCCTCAATCTGTTCCAGGGATCTCCGTTTGGTTTCTGGAACGCAACAGCCTGTAAATAAAATATTCCCAGCGCAGATGACAGCAAAGAATAGGAACGGCACCTCGAGGCCAAAGGACTCCTGGAAAGTGGGACAGAAAGCGGACGTGAGCTGGTGCAAGAGACTCCAAAGAAGAGATCCTGGATGCCTCTAGGGCTGTACTCACCACAACCCCAAGGAAGAGCTGGGTCAGGGCAAAGGCTGTCACCCAGCTCACGACAACACAGAGGCCTGATGCCACCCCACGGGCTTTCAGAGGGAGGATTTCTGACATCAGCAGCCAGGTGATGGGCCCCCAGCCCATGGCATAGCCTGCAGGGGACAAAGTCGTGAGGCTTCAGAGCCCATTAGGTGAGCACAGCACAATCCCACCTCCATCAGTCCATCATTATTCCCCACCATACACACTCCACCAATCCTGAAAGTGACTGCAGATGCCATCTTAGCCTGCCAGGGAGGTCTGTGTCCCTTTCAACCCCAAGCCCAGATCGCTTTGTTCCTTATCATCTTGTCCAAGAAGAGAAACATGTCCCCAGGCTCATACCCAGCCCTGGGCTCTTGCTCTGTGCACCTACCCATTATGAAGAACATGGCAGCCAGGAGGGGGATGAGGGTGACGTAGTGGATGGGCTCAGCAGGAGGGTTGGCAACGCTCCCCAGGGTCCTGTTGGCAGTGGTGCTGTTCTCAGAAGATGGCACAAAGTGGATGTAGAGCCCCATGGTCAGGTTGGAGGCCAACATGACTCCAGCTGTGGAGAGATGCAACAGCGCAGAAGGATGAAAGGGAGAGCAATCTGTGTGACGGTTCTGGATGTGATGCTCTGGAGCTGAGCTTTTGCCAAAGGGAAAACACCCTTCCACAGTCCTGCATGGTGAAAGTCTCCACTCCTGCACGTTTACAAAGCCATTGGAAATCCCAAGAGAAAAGATTCCTTTGCACACTCTGAGAGAGACATACCCGATACAAAGAGAAGGATCTTCCTCCCAGCTTTATCCATTGACACAGCAGCGATTGCCACTGAGAACAGCCGTACCAGGCCCACAAGAGCTGCATCATACTCTGGTTTCTGCAACAGCAAAAGTGATGGAGAAGCTGAGATGGGAGACCTGCCAACCAGGTGCTTCAAAACAGGCTGCAGGGTCGGGGTCTTGGATCTGCATGGGACATGGCAGACATCTCTGCTGGCAGGGCACTGGGCTGCACAGGGTCTCACCAGGATGACGGCCATTTTCTTGAATATCGGCTGCAGGTACACGAGGATACAGGTGACACCAGAGAGCTGCTGCAGGAACCTCATCCCCACAGCAATCAGGATGGGCTTGTAGATAAAGGGATCCTTGATCTCAGCACAGGAAATCCGCTGGCTCTGGAGTGGGGGGGGGGGACAATGCCAGAAAGCTGACACATTAGCACAGCTGCAACACGCAAAAAGCAGCTCAGGAGCTGCCCAAAGCAGGCTGGGTTTTTCCATTTTCCTATCTCATGCTGGAGGTGAGGCTGGTCCTCACCTGCTTCCTCACACTGTCCTTAATCTGCTCGTACTCCTGGGCATAGTCTGTGTCCCTGCCCCTCAGCCAGCACAGTGAGCGCAGGGCCTCGTCCTCCTTCCCCTGGGAGAGCAGGAAGCGGGGTGAGTTGGGCATGAAGCAGAGCAGGAGGATCATGGTGAGCACAGGCACTTCCCCTGCCACGGCCAGCCAGCGCCAGTCCAGGAGCAGCCCTGCGGGAGCCAAGTTGGTTGGAAGGAGAATCATAGAATCACTGAGGATGCAAAAAACCTCTAAGATCATCAAGTCCATCCCCAACCTCCACCACAGCCACTAAACTTGTCCCCAGTTGCCTCATCTCCACGATTCTTCAATGCCTCCAGGGGTGGTGACTCCACCACTTCCCTGTGCAAGTGAGGGAACAATCCTGCCTTCCCACTGCACAGCCAGATACTTGCCCAGCACATAGAGGATGAGGGAGCCCAGCACTGCCATGATCTGAGGACACGTGCCCAGCATGCCTCGCACCCCAGGGTGGGAGATCTCAGAGATGTAGACCTGGAGCAGGACAGCACACACTTAGCTGATCTACAGCACACAGCCAGAACGAAGAGAACGTCCCTGCATGTGTCTCACAGTCACACAGCTCAGCTGGGGAATCCCAAACTGCTGGAACACACATCCTTAGAGAGGGGAACATGGAGGGGCTGTTTCTGGCAGTGGGACAGGGAAGCCCCTGCAGCACCCATCCCTGCCCCAGTGTGGGAGGAGTGCTCAGACTCCAGTGACTGGAAAGACACAGCCGAAGGTTGCTCAATCTTTGCCTTCCTCTCTGTATGTGACATGAGGTCAAAGTCTGGTAAATAAGGGAGGGAACAACTCTGTGGAGGAACAGAGCAAGGAACAAGGACCTGCCTGCCTTCCACTTTTTGTGGTCCAGAAAAGCCCACCCAGCAGAATGGGGGCAGATGTGCTGCAAGATCACTACCCTGGGGCATCCCCCCAGCCCCTCTAGCACATCCATCCCCTACGGCACAGACACAGCCCTGAAGCTCTGCTGATGCCTCTGAAGCAGAATGAGGCCCCACCTCATTCAGCTCAGCTCCACCTCGCCTCCCATCACACAGACTCTTAGGACACATACCGGGATGGAGGCAGCCGTCACACCACCGGCGTAGCCTGTAAGCACGCGGCCCAGCAGCAGCATCTCGATGCCCTGAGCACCGGCCATCAGTGCATATCCCACGGCAGAGGGCACAGCTGAGAACATGATGCTGAGCTTGCGGCCCAGGTGGTCATTGAGGAGCATGGCGCTGAGCCCCCCCGCCGCCGCCCCCAGCATGAACACCGACTGCAGGGAGACACAGAGGGGCTTTGGTGGAGCCTGGCTCTCTCTGTATCCCCCCAGTGAAGACGGTCCTGCACCTCACCCCAAACCAGGATGCTCTGTAGCGGTCCAGCCTCAGCGCGGGGTTGGGGTGAGCCTCCAGGACAGGGATCACCGGTGAGGGGTAAACCAGGGCAAAGCCAAAGCTGAAATTCCCCAGCACGGCAGAAAACACTGCCATGTAGAGCCGCTTGTTGTTGAGGCTTCTGGAGGTGGGCAGAGCAAGAAGGATGTGTTGGACATCTCTATGGCACTCGATGGAAGATCCAACTCATTCTGTTGCAGCTTTCCCCCATGGATGCATTTCAGTTGAGCCGGCTGGTTCTCAGCCAGTTCAACAAACAGAAAAGCAGAAGCTGGAAGCGGGCAGCACTGCAATCCCAGAGAGCTCCCTGCCACCACCCCACAGCAGCACCCTGTGCCCCACAGCCCACCTACCCACGGCTCTCCCAGACAGATCCCAGCACCGTGAGCCTCGCACAGGATGAGTTCCCTCTCACCACAGCCATGGGGCCACAGCCAACTCAGAGCTCCCAAACCCCAGATCCAGGTTCATGGCCACCCCACATCCAGCCCCACAGCCGCAGTCTGGCACTTACTGCAGGTACTCCTTGTCCAGCCCCTTTCTGATGCTCTCAGGGAAGGTGTGGTATGAGGAGCTTGATCTCCTCACCAGCGGCTCCCGCACACTCGGCTCCATGGTGGTGGCCATGCAGCTGGTGCCTGCTGTGGTGAAGGCACTGCTGTGCTCAGGGCCGGATGCTCGAGGAGGTTTCAGGGGCCTGAGAGGAAGAAGCAATTGAAAGCGAAAGGGGAGAGGCCACCCAGTGTTGCTTAATCAGGGAAATCTGTGTCTTGTGAGCTCATACCCTGATAAGTTCTGGAGTGGGAACTGGGCTGGGGTAGAGAGGTGGAGGGAGATGATGGTGCTCTGCATGCCTTCACCACACATCTGGCACTTCCTCCTGGGCAGGAAAAAGCCACCAAAATTGAACATTTATGGGCTGATCCTTGCAGGAACTGTTCACCCGAAAGTCCCTTTGCTGAGGTCATGGCACTCCCCTTGAGGAACCAGCAACAGCGGAGGGTTGCTTCTTGAGCTGCCCTTGGAAGGTTTTACAATATAAAACAGAGGAAGGACCAAAAACAGATGGAGGTGAAACCAGGGGATTTGAGGGAGCAGCTGAGGGCAATGATAAGTGCTGATAGAGATGGAGCAGGGAGGGCTCCTGGAGTATTGGGAGCAACTGATGTAGGCTGGCAGTGCCCCCCTGCCCTGAGACCTGCAGCAGCACAGTGCTGGAGTAGCTGTGGTTCCTGAGGGCTGCGTGATACATGCTCGCTCCGTAGGAGAGAGAGGTGAGTATTGGCTTTCTGCAGTGGTTTCTACACCTTAATTCCACATGGGAGCTCTGAGGGTGGTTCGGGAGCTTGCTGCCTCGGCTCAGAGCATTTTCCCTTCCTGCTGTCTGCTTCCCATTCTCCAACAACCAAGCTTTGCATTTAGTGCCTGATTGATGCTGGGGGTTCACAGCTGACTCAGCCACTCGAGACTGTGAATTCCCTGCAGCAAGAAAGGTCGCGTGGGGGGGGAGGGGATGCTGAGACAGTAGGACAGCTCATTCCAAAATTTCCAGGGCTGTGTTGGTCCTCACAGGGCTGCCACAATGGTTTTCAGTGAGCGTGGGATGCTGTCAGCTGCTTTGTGCAAGGCTGTGGTCCTTCACAGGACTGTGGGGGTTAAGAAGTGCTGCTGCTGGTTGCACCATGCAGACTGTAGCAAATCTGCAAGTGCTGCCTTTATGTGCCAATTTAATTCCCACCCCCACAGCCCTGTTTGTGTTTTCTGCTGTTTGGAGCTCTCAGAGCTATGCAGTGTAATGAGGCTGGCAATGGTGGGATGGGGCTGGGACCCCCCCAGGCTTGGGGGTGCGAGGCACCTCCCGGCTAGGTGGCTGCTGCTTGTGGTTACTGCAGAGCTCGTTTAGGATGTGGTGTCTGTCCTAAGCCTGAACTTGGACAGAGGAAAGAGAGGAATGCTCAACCCATCCTCCTCCCTTCTATCTGGGGCAAAAAAAAGCACGTTGGAGAGGAGCCCTGAAGCAGTCGGATCTCTGAAAGGCGAAGTGCTATCCAGTTGCTGTGCAGATTTGTCAACTGCTTCAAGCAGGAAATTACTTCGTGTCTTGAAAACCCTCCAAGCACCTGTAACGCTGTGAGCACGGGGGAGCTGCTGTCTGCTGGCCTGGGCTCGGCGAGCCGGGGCTGAGCTGCTGGGCAGGGCCTGTCCCTCAGTGTCCTTGGAGGTGGGGGTCCCTTGGTGATGTGTTAGGGGTTCTGAGCTCATGTTTGGTGGGCAATGCATGCAGCACTGTGTCTCTCTGTGACTCTCCCCGCATTTCTGTATGTCCTACCAAAGCACAACAAGCAAAAGAAGGTGCTTCTCAACTCTGACGTGCTGTGTATTTGGCCATGGCATGGAGGGGGGGGGGAGTGGGTCTCCAAGCCCTCAAGGTTGGCATGGAGAGGGATGATGTGGCCGTGTTGTGCCAGCAGTGCCAGGGTTGTGTGAAGGGTGATTTGGTGCTGCTGAGAGCTGCTGGCTGCTCGGCTGCAGCGATGCATTGCTCCGACTCAATGAGTTTCTTCCTCCCCCCTCTGACAGCTGTGCGATCGATCACGGCCATGTGCAAAAAAATAAACTGCATCAAAGCCACTTGGCAATTTGACTAACCAAGTTCATAAATTAATTTCTATCCCTTTTGTAAGGGAGAAATCAGTCGCTCCTCGAGGAGATCCGTCTCCATCAGTCAACCAGCTGCATCCCTTCATTAATCTTCCCTGTAAGTCTGGGCTGGTGATTGCTGGGTGGGTATTTGGGGGAGCATTGGTGCGATGTGGAGTTATGGTAGCGAATGGGATCTGTGCAAAACGTGGGTGAATGGCATTTGTGGGCTCCAGGAGCTGCGCTGGGGGACCTGGAAAGAGGTCGGGAGGTGGGGATTTTTGGGGTCGGTACTGTGCTCCATGGAGAGCCCTCCAGGCACAAGTTTGAGGGCTTTGCAACATGGGGTCCTGTGCACCTTGCTCCAAATGGACATTGGTGTCTGCAGCCCCAGCAGGGCTCTTCCAAGCAGACAGATAGAAGTCTGCTCTTCTCTACTCCATCCTTCACCACACTGCACCCCCTTCCTCCCCTCCCTTCAGAAAAATATCAGCACCTTCTCAGGCTGCCATCTGTTTATTTGGTTGGACTCAGAACTTGCTGAAATGTCTTTCGATGGATGAAGCAACGGAGAGTAGAAGAACAGAGCCTGGCAGGCTGCTTGGTGAGTGGAAAATAATTTTTTGGGACATTCTGGAGTTTGAAGCCCTGATGATGGATGTGCATGCAAGAGATGGTAATGGCTTTGTAAGTATCAAAACACAGAGCAAGAGAATAACTCTGCCTAATAGACTGAGGAATGGATGCTGGGCAGGATCTGTTCTGCTGTGACACAGCTGGATGATGGAGTGCTGTGGGCTCGGGAGTTAAACACTGCATTTGTTTAATGTGTTGGAAAAAAAACCCAGGATAAGTAGTTTTGAAAAATATTACATGCTCACTATGAATGTGTTGGAAAATCGTAGCATTGTTAAGGTTGGAAAAGACCTCTAAGATCACCACGTCCAACTGTTAACCCATCACCAGCACACCCAAGCTCACAGTGTTGGGCATGGGGGTTTTGCTGGTTGCTGCACCAAGGAAAGGCTTTGCTGATCCCACTCCTATTTAAGGGGGTTTTTGTGCCCCACTTCCAACCTGGCTGACGTGGAAGCAGGGCTGAGCTGGCAGATGTGGGTGATCCTCAGCATGGGTGCTGCCTTTTATCTGCATCCTGACTGCGAGCAGGATAGGGGCACAGGCTGCCCAGGGACCACAGAGCTGTGGCACTGAGGGAGGTAGCAGTGGGATTGGTGGGCTGGGCTTGGGGATCTGAGAGGACTTTTCCAACCTTCGTGTCTCTGTGATTCTTTGGGGTGATGTTTTGTTTTTTTTTTCCCTGCTTGATGGGTTTTTCTCTGGGTTAATCCAGCACAACTCCTGGAACAGGTGGAAGTGAGATAGCAGATAACAGGACTGCAGGAGTGTCTGCATGGCAGGGTTTTGGGACTGGATGTCTTCCCTCCCAACACCTGGTGGCTTTGTCCAGCTGCAGCCTTGGGAGGACAACCTGCCTGTGTTTGGCTCGTGTCCTTGAGGGCTGAAAACAAAAAACAACAAGAAGAGAAAACTTGCTGTCAGCAATACTCTATATATCCAGAGCTGTGCTAGGGAACCGCCAAGCTTCCTGATACCCTGTGTTGGCTGAGAGGCAATGAGATTAAGGGAAGCATAACTTCCATAAAGAATTTTTTGAAGGTATGTATACATAATGTATATGTGTATGTATTTAAACATAAAGATTTTAGGTATCCAGTTTAATTTACTGAGCTGCTCTGATGGATTCTGAAGTGGTGCCCATTGTGGGGCCAGCATTTGGGGTTTTTGGAGACCCTTCCCTTGCCCGTGGGCATCTTGGGCTGAGCATTTTGGATTGAAGCTGCTCTCTCTGATGGCCCAGGCTGTGTTTCGTTATTCTTTAGGACACAAATCTCCCCCTAAATTCCTGAGAGCTGCTGCCTGCTCTTTCCTTGGCTGTATGCTTTTTTTTTTTTTTTTTTTTTTTTTGCCGTTTAATACAATTTTTTTTCCTTTTTTTTTTTTTTTTTTTTTAAAGGGCAAAACAAAACAGATCATTTCCTCGATTTAATGTGAGCCAATTATGGCTCATGGGCTGTTAACTTCATCACCGCTTCTTCCAAGAAAGACGTTGGGTAAAACGAACCAGCACAGCTCCGCGTGCGCCCGGCAAAGCCTCAGCCCTGGCCATTTATCCCCGCGGATGGAAAAAAGCTAAAGCCTATGTCACACAAATGCCCTCTAAAGTATCCAACCACTTGTTGTACATCTGCTGACGGATACCAACTGGAAAGGAGATTAGCGCTCAGACTCCCGCGCTGGGCTGTCTGCTGCTCCTAATGAGGACCAGATTGCAGCCCCCGCCGGCGCTGCACCTCCAGCGGATGGCGGGATGGGGAGGTGCCAGGGCGCGTGCCAGCAGCGTGGAACCGTGTGGGCTGCGGGACGGGGCTGGTGCTGCTGGGACCCGCAGTGGGGCTGGGGGTGGCATGGGGTGCTGGGGATGCTCCGAGGAGCGCAGGAGCTGCGCTTGGCCTTGTGCACATTCACCCCAGCTTGGGGGCGGTGGCATTTCCAGACAGATTGCTGCATCCCTCCTCTCTGGACGCCACCAGCTTGGGGCCAGCACTCAGCCGGGGTGTTATCCCACAGCAGCATCACATGGGATGCGTTGCCTGTCATCCCGCATGCTATCTCCCACCCTGCTTCTCCTCGGGAATTAAAGCGCTTTATGGCACTAAACTAAAAGCAATGGGGGCCGTGTCCAGGGCTGTCCCCAGCTGTCCCACATCCCAAACCACCTCCACCTACTGGGGGCTGTGAGCAGCACGGCGCTGTGCCCGCCGCCGTCTCCTGAAGTGCTCCGTCTCCTGGCTGAGGGCCAGTGCAGGAATGTTAACGTTTTTCTGTGGCTAATTCGGGGCCGTGGGCAGGACCCGGCGCTGGCGCTTGTTTTATTTTATGTTTCTTTTCAACAGCTGTTGAATTGAAAATTAAGATGTGCTGGGACCTAATCCCAAATAAAAATGCCGGTGCACCCCCCTGGGGCCCTGAGGTTAAGCTGTGGGGTGGGCAGCATGTGTCCCCATCCCAGGGCTGGGGAAAGCCAGGCACGGTGCTTCCCACCTGCGGCCGGCTGGGAGGGCTTGTAAAGGACTTGCCACCATGGCCATGAGGTTTTCTTATTTCTTTTCTTTCTTTCTTTCTTTTTTTCCTGGATTCTTACAGATTTGGGGCTTTGGGTGTTTTTAGTGGTGGCTGGAGACGGGCTCTGTGGTGCGTGGGGAAGTAGAAAGGAAAGATCACGAAATCATTAAGGCTGGAAAAGGCCTCTCAGATTCCCAGCCCACCCCACCGTGCCCACTGACTGATTCATCCCTGAGTGCCATATCTCTGTGGTTCTGGAACACCTCTGGGACCCCAGCACTCCCTGGACAGCAGTGTTCTTTCTCATCAGGAATTTCTCCTGCTATCCAAACTGAACCTCCCTCCCTTCTACACCTTGTCTTAAAACGATGAGCTGGGATCCTCACGTCAGGGGGAGCAGAAAATGGCTGCATCCTCAGAGCAGGGGATAGGGAGCTTTCTGTGAGCCCGTTTCACAGGAACCTTCTAACCCCAATGATCTTTACGGATCCCATCCAGCTTGGGATGTTCAATGATTCCACGAACCCATTCGTCCTCTCGTAAAATCTCGCAGCTGGAATCTGGAGATATGAAGATGCATTTCTGCTCCACTGGCCATCTATGAACAGGACGGCGGTGTTACAGCTGCCTGCAGATCCTGGGGTGAATCTTCAGCATTCCTAGGCAGATTTCACCTGTATTATTGGCGTAAGTGCACCCTGCCCTGCCATCATGGTGCGTCCCCCGCTGCCCTGTGCTTTATCATTCGAGGTCATGGGAAGCACACAGAATATTTTGGTTTGCTCGTGATGGTCGTGCAGAGATTTTGGGGATCAGGATGTGCTGCATGCATTAAAGCACCTTCACCTCTAAGGCAGGAGGAGGTGATGCACAGGGGGCTCCCGAAACTCATTTCCCCTGGGAAAGCATCCTAAGCCCTACACATCCCAAATGCATGCCAGGTCCTGTGGGATGAGACTGGAGAATGTGGGAGCGAGAAGGAGCGGGGCTTGTATGGGAAAGGATGGGGAGGTGCTGCTGTGCTTTTCGTGGAGCCCCCAGCACCCTGCCTGCTGCACAGAGCTCATGTGAAACTCATTAAAAGTGTGAGGAGAGGGAGCACGATGGTTGGGAATCGTTTTGTTTGGGTTTCTAAAACGTGCTCATGAAAACACTGTGTGGTTTTCTGACAAATTTGAAACAGTGCTATTCAATTCACTCCAGTGTTGCTACTGTTGATCTAGCAGACTGTAAAGCATTTATTGGAGTTGCTTGAGGCGAACTTAAGCATCTGTGGAATAACAAGTCCAGGAAGTAATTGCATCTACAAGGAAAATATTTTTATGTATAATTCAGTGACCCATTTTATAAACATTGCGGTTCCACCTTGGACTCTTTTTTTTTTCTTCTTCTTCTTTTTTTCCCCATTTTTTTCCCCTTTTCACCCACAGCCTTCCCCCATCCAAGAGCCTGAGGTCGGCCAAGTCTGTGGGGTTGGGTTTGGTGGCTTCTGCCTTTGGGCAGGCGCCACGGTGGAGGCAGGAGGGACACCCTGGGGTGCCCAGCGGTGGTCCTGCAGTGGGGGGACATCGGTGCCAACACAGAGAGACGGCGCGGATGGCTCCTGCAGAGCCTGGCAGGCACCGGGGGGATTGTCTCAGGGCAATGGCTTTGCTTTATTCCTGAGCTTTATGAGTCACCCACAGCCTGTGTGGCATCGAGCTGGGGTTGAGGTCGCCGGTATCCTGTGCTGTCCTCATGTCCCCAGTGCTTGGGATGTCACACGGTGCTGGGAAATGGGGCTGTCGGCAGAGCCAGCCCTGCCACGGAGCTGTCTGCTGGAGGATGAGCCAACCCCGCCGCGGTGGCTGATGAAAGCATTATATTGATGCTTTCCTTTGAGTTATGTTTCTCTGGGTGAAGGGAAGTGGGCTGAAAACAAGAAGGCAACCAACCATGCTTCGGAGGAGCTGGGCTCCCCATCAAAATTCTTTTGGCAGCTGAAAGCCATGTTGGATTTTTCAATTTCACAATGTCCATTTTTGGTTAGTTGGTTTTTTTGGTTTTTTTTTTGCTTTTTTTTGGGGGGGGGGGGGAGAGGATTCATCTCCATGCAATAGAAATGCTTCTCCCCAAGCACCTTTCCCAACTCAGGGCAGTGAGTGCTCAGAGCTTTGAGGACACACAGCACACAGCCTGGGGACACAGAGCACAAAGCCATCATCATCTCTTGGTCCTCATTCTCTGTGCTGTACTATAGGGAACCATTTGAACCCCTGAACACTCACAGTGCTGGGGTGTTTTCACTGTCTTGCAAATCCCTGCTATGACCTCTTTAAGCCAGGCAATGCCAAAAATCAGTGGGCAGAACCCAAAATGAGGGTGCCAAGATGGGGCTCCCCATCTTCTCCTAATGCTTTTCTCCCCCCCCCCTCCACGCTCTGTTATGAGTCCTGCAGCAAGGCTGAGTGCCTGGCCCCCCTCCAGGAGGGAGAACAAAGCAAAACAAAGCAGCCCTGGGAGTAAATATTATCTGGATACGAAGGAACGCTATGTTTCTTTGTATGGGTCTAGAATTTCTGCCTTTTAACAGCTAACCTTGACTCAGCCAATATCCACAACATGCAGCCCTGGCCAAAATATGCTGGGCCTTCAAGTACCACAACAGCTGTTTTTCTTGCTAAAATACAACATTAAATTTTTTGGACGGCTGGATGCTTCCTTGATGAAAGTAGAATAAGGGGCTATTTTCCTCCTTCCTTCTCTTTCTCTCCCCCTCTCCTCGTTCCCCTATCTCCAGTGCTTTGGTGGGTCTGGAGCCCCCAGCACCCAGCTGTAAGGGGAGGTCTGGGGCCTGTGGGCTGCTCGGTGCCCCCCCGTGCTCCTGGATCCCTCCCAACACCCAGCTGAGCCCCGGCCAGCAGTGGTTGCAGCTCTGACATCTTGTTTTGCTGATGGTCTGTCGGTTGTCCAAAAGGTTCTGCTGTTAGAACAGGGGAACCGAGAGATGTGGGGTGGTGGTGATGCTCCCACATGTGCCCAAGGGGATCCTGTGGTGCTGGTGGGACCCCGGTGGGCTTTGTGCTTTGCATGCCCTATCCATGCAAACAATAATTTGGTGCTTTTCCAAGGACTGAGGCTGATGATGTGGTGCGGGAACACAGTGGCTGCACCTGGCCCTGTCACCTGGTGCTGGTCACTCTCCCCATGCCAACCCCAAATCTCAGCCAGCTTTGGGCAGCATTCACTCTCCTTCACCCTGCAATGCCCACAGTGAAATCAGCCTTGAGCTGGGTTTGCTGGCACCTTAATCACCTCCACGTCATCCATCAGAACAGCAGATCTGATGTGTTTGGGACACAGGACAGCCTCGCTGGACAGCATGCTTTTCCATGGGTGTTTTGCTGCATTTTTCAAGCTGAGGTGGGCACAGAGAGCTGCATGGTGCTCAGAGGGCATTTGCAGGAGCCCTGGGTATGAACTCAGGGAACTGCTGCAGTGGGAGCAGGGATGATGCTGCAGCCCCATGGCACCAGGATGTGGGGTTGACAGCTCTGCACTGCCCCACACACGGGTCCTATCCAGCCCCTCCCCGCCTCCGGCACGCGAGCTGTGGGCTTTGCTGCTTGGAAAAAAAAATCCCTCCGCTCCTCTTTCTTTCCTTTTTCCTTTTGGTTAAAGATCAGCTTGACTTTTAACGGGAGACAGAAGAATTTTTTAAAGGGGGGAGGTGGGAACCCAACCAGGAGTGAGTTTCATTGCCCAGAGGCCTCGCAGCCGTGTTTATTTTGAATGGGGCCAGGGGCAGAAAACCCAGG